CAAGGGCTGGCTCCCAGCCCCCGCAGCACAGGGGAGCTCATCGCCACTGCGGCTCATTCTCACTACTGAGCCGGTAGAAAACCCTGGAGGAAAGAGGGGCACGGGGGGGGTTCTCACCCGCGATGGCAGGAAACGACGCGGCCCTCGCGATGTCCCGCAGCACGGACTGCAGGCGCTCCCGGGCCTGCACAGGGTCGCTGCTGGCAGCTGCAATCTCCTGTGCGTCGGCAGCGCTGGCGTAGATCTCCGAGAGCTCTTCCAGTGTCTTGGACTGGAGGGAGCAGAGCCAAGACAAGAGATTGAGGGAGGTCCCTCCGCAAAGGCAATGTACAGGTCTTTGGGGAAGGTCACTAACTACACCACTCTCTCCCTCCAATCTCTCTCCCTCCTCTAACTCCTACCCCCTTCAAGTTCCCTCAAAATTTCTGCAAAGAAAAAAAAAAATGTGTTTGAACAACTTAAGGGGTTTTCTTCACAAGTTTTCACTCCCCCCAAATCCCAAAGCAAGGTATTTCTCTGGTCAAACGAATACTTGTGCTGCATTTCAAATCCAGGGGCTCTTCCTCTCTCCACTTAGGGATGGGGAAAGGAGTAAAAGGGTAAAAGGCGAGTTACCCCCACACACTTCACGAAACAGAAGTGTAGACCTCAGGTCTAACCTGAGAAGAGAAGGGAAAGACATGTATTTTTCTTACAAGAGGTGTTATCAAAACATTTTTCTTTTGTCAGTCAAATATTATTTTGGTCAGGAAATCCTCCAGCCAACTGCACGAAACTGCTCCCAATGGCATCATGGCATCACCGAAGTCGAAGCTCTCTGAGCCTACCTTCAGGAGGTGGTGCAGACTGTCCAGGTCACAGCGGGTTCCAAAGTTGGCCTGGTAGAGATGCTCGAGGAGCACGACGAGTGTGGCGCGCTGCGGGTGCTCGCTGGCGCTCAGCTTCTCAGCGATGGAGAGGAACTCGCTCTGCACCTCGGAGCGGTTGAGCAGCAGCACCGTCCTGGGGACAAGGGGATGGCAGTTAGTCTGGGCAGCCAGGCTTGTGTGCTGGTGGCACACGAAACTCTTGGACAAATTCACTCTAGATGGCAGTGTCCTCTCACATTAGTCACAGCCAGACCCACACTGCAGTGCCAGCCAGGGGCAGGGAGCAGGTAAGGGATGAGCATCCTCCATCCTGCCCCTCGGCGCATCCCTGGCACCATCTCTCCTGCCACATCTGCAATATCACCAGCCCAATAATTGTTCAACCAGCCCCAGACAGGGCTCCAGCCCAGCAGCCAGCTGTCCAAACTGGACATCCAACACATGCGATGAAGCCGGGTGGGAGGGTAGGAAATGAGAGGGGCCCCTGAAACATCTTCCCCCTGCAAGGTGCAGGTCAGAGCATCACTTCTGGGCTTTAAGGAGAAGAGCCACATCCTTCAGCTGCATTTTTGCTCTGGACCACAAAATGAACATCCACAGGTTTTGAATTCCCAAACCTGCCATCCAGAGAGCACGTAGGCATGTGCTTACGTTCATTGACAAGAGCAGTCCACCTCACTGAGCAAAAATGTCTCTAAATTAAGGATGTGCTCTGGCGTGCTTGGTTCTAGAAAGCTCAGGCAATGGGCGCAAGCTTTCAACAAGCCCAAGGTTCAGCTTGTGTACAGCTTTGTGCCAGGTTTTCAGAGCTTTTTATGCAAATATAGCCATCGTGTTCTAAGTCATAAGTGGTTGCACTTGCACCAGTATAAGCGTTGTAGAGCTGGGGAGCTGTACTGGGAAAGCAACACAGCAGCACCAGCGCAGCTGGGTGGGATACAGGTGCAGATCCAGAGCTGCACGGCATGAGTGGACAAGCCAGAACAGCAGGACACCCCTCCTGCACAGAGTAGAGGCAGCTGTGCAGAAGGACTGTCCCTGGGGCTAGGGCTGGCAGGATGGGCACATGCCACCCGGGCTCATTTTCCTATTTACAAATGAGGTGCCCTGGCAGGAGGAAAGGTTCAGCCCTCGAATAAGGTGCAAAGTCTGACCACGCTCAGAGCTGCAAGGTTTGCATTAATTGTTGCACTGGGATGGACTCGCTTCTGTCCTCCCTCGGGCTGGTGGCTCCCAAACAAGCAGATCAAAGCGTCTCCTGGCTGTTCACCAGCCTGTGCCAAGATCAGCAACTCCCCGCAGAAAAGACTTTGCCTTCCCCAGCTGTTTTCACCCAGATCTGCAACCCTGCAGTAAGCAGGGCTGCAGGATAACCGACATGGGGAGCCCACACACCCTGACCCACGGCTACGGAAATGCCACAGTCACTTTCCTTATCCCTTCCCACAGCTCAGCCCAGCTATCCAGCTCTTGTCCCTGGCACCCGCCGCTACGCCTTTGAGATCTGCGCGCTGCAGCCCCACTGCTGTGCAAGCAGCGTGGGATTTGGGGGTGCTACAGAGAGAGACGCCAACAGTGCCCATGGCCACACTTACACGGTGGAGCTCTGGTAGTTCTTCACGGGCAGTCCCTGCTCCGTCCTCACCAGCCTCTGGAAGGAGATGCCTGGGGGAGAGAGCAGAGGACAGGAGACATGGCACCACCGCAGACAGCTCTGCTTCAGGAGCACGTCAACTTTGTCTCCTAACATGGTCCTGACCTGGCTGAGCCGCAGCCTGGAGCGGGCATGGCAGCACCAAAAGTCCTTATTAGGGACAAGGCACCATGCAAGGGGACCAGCCCGGGAGCAAGGGAGCCTTGGGACAGAAAGGGTGAAAGCCCAAGGGGATGGGAAGGCAACTAGAGGATGGGAAGGGAGAGCTGCTCCATCCCCAGACCCTTCTGCCCCACTGCTGATGTGGGATCCTTTTTGAATTGCATGGGTGATATTTAGCAGCTTCTGCCATTTGCTTTAGCCCCCCCAGGCCCTGGATCTCACTTATGGACAGCAGGTCACTGCCACCTTCCCTCCCACAGAGATGGAGCCCAGCCTGGCCCCAGCAGAAGCGAGGTTGGCGTGAGCAGCCCACGTCCCTGGATGCCCTCCCTGGGACCATCCCTGGGATGCCCTCCCTGGGACGCCATTGGGAACCTCAACCAGGCAATGTCTGACGGACCCGGACTGGGTGGCAACAGCAAAGCCTGTGTCACTCCCAAAAGGCAGAAGGACTGGAGGACATCTTGGGAAAGATCTTATGGTGTCAGCAAGATCCAGCACCCTTATTATTGCAGGCAGACACATCCCAACCCCAGCTGCTGCTCAGCAGCCAAGAAGCAGCACCCACAGGGGGCCCAGCACCCATGGGCAGCTCGTGTTGATCCACACAGGCCCCCTGATTACAGCAGCGTTCACCCCTCTTGCAGAGACATCAGCCCCAGTTCGCAGATAAAAGCTATTGCATTCTTGGCAAATATTGACAGCAGCTTGTTCTCAGTTAATATTTATCCTCATCTCAATAAAAAGCTTTTGCTTCAGCCTCGCAGCAGGTCACGGAGGCCGTGCAACAAGCATATAAGGTCCTGGCCAGCTTACCAGCAGAGGACACGTTTTCATTGTTCTTGGCTCCAGTTTGGGGGAAAGGCCACACCAAGGGGCAGCACTGGGCTCCCCAGCCCCAGCAGGCCAACACCTCCCACAAGGCATCTTTTGGCAGCAGTGGGGGAATCTCATATGCTTGTAGGAGGGGAAAAGCTTTTGGACCAAAGTCCCCCGCTCACACAGCCCCGGGCACCAGTGATGGTGGTGATGGCACAAGAGCAGGATGTGGCAAACCCGCCCCAGCACTGGGGCTTTCCCAGAGGTCTGTAAAACACAGCCCTGACCGGTGTTGCAGCAATAAATGACCAGGAGGGAGCTGGGGAAGTCCATGGCTGCAGCAGCGTGGGACGAGCGTCCCCACATCCGTGCTGGCCCTGCAGCTCTGAGCTGGAGGCTGGACGCAGCACAACAGCCCAGCCAGACCTTGCCTGGTGGCCGTGGCCATTTACGCTGGTGGAGCCTTGAGCTGGGGGTAAATCAGCCAGTCCAGCGCCAACGCTGCAGAGGGTTTTGCGTGTTTTTTAATCTTTTTGTTCCTTTGAAAGCATCTTTCATCCCATCTGCGCCTACAAGCTCCCATCTCCACAGGACGTTGCTGCTGTGATGGAGACCCTGTGTTTCCCGTCCCTGTCAGGGCTCTCCAAAGCTTCTGCCTGGTTTGAGGAAGCGGGGAAGCATCCCCAGCCTCAGCCACAGCCCATGTACCCATCTGAGGCCTCCCAAGTCCCGCTCAGAGCCGGTCTCACTGCCATGGCCCTGCGCAGGATTAAACAAGGGCTGAAATCTGCTCCGTGTGATAACAGCTCTCTGTAAGCCACCAAAAGACAGGGAGATTAGGAGAAATGGCCTTTTAGAAATAATTGGAAGAGCTGCTCCGTTGGGAACAACAGGACATCTACGAGGAGCCCTTAATTAAGAGGAGCGGTGCTGCTGCCGATAGATGTGCCCAAAGCCGTATCACAAGGTAGTGTCTCGGCTGTAAAGAAAGAGCCGGGGAGTCCCTCAGCCCTGTGGAAATCTCCACGCAAGGGCAGGCTCGAAGGCTCCGGCCACCTTGATGCCGATGAATGGACCCACTGTTATCACCCCAGTTACGCCACTGAGCATCTCAAACTGAGCATCTCAAACAAAGCCCAGGGCTGGGCGGGAGCAGCCAGCACGTGCTTTGCCATGGGAAAGACCCCTCATGCTGAACAGCAGCCAGGAAATAGTTACAGGTTTTGCTAATCCACACTGGTCCGGAGCTGAAAGTCCCTGGGATGCTCCCACCACCTTGCATGCAAGGCAGCCACCGAAAACACAACCCCACCATCCCACCTGCTCCTCCAGAGGAATCTGGTCTCACCCTGTGCTGGACCACCAGGGAAAATCATCCAGAGGATGGAGGGCAGAGGTCCTCGCCTCCTGGAAAAGCTGAGGTGTGGGATACACAAGGTAACGTGGACACTACGCTCAAGGGATTCATGAAGCAAGTGGGTTATCAGACAGCAACACCAGGAGAGTCTCGGGAACAAACACGGGGCGGTCGCAGCAGCGGGTGTTTTTGGGGAAGCAGCGCCAACAGCGCATGAAAACCCTGGGATGGGGCAGGAGCACTTACCGGGGGCCTTGAGCTCGTCGCTGATGAAGGTGAGCAGCTCGCGGAAGATGTCGCAGTAGGGCACGGGCCAGGTCAGGAAGCTGTGGTATACGCTGGTGGCTTTCAGGAGCAGGTCAGAGCCCGGTGGGAAGTGGGGAGCCTGCGGGGGATGGGGAGACCCGATTAGAAAGGGAGCAAGGACACAGGCCTCGAGCGCTGCGTAAAATCTCGAGAGTTTAGGCTGGAAGTGGGAGGAGGAGAAACGGATCGGAGCAGAGGTTCACCCCGTGACACCCCGTCCTCTCCCAAGGAAAGGTCAAAGGACCCCCACTGGGCACAGCTCCAAGAACGCTTCATCCGCTCTGCACCTTCCCAACCTCCCGGCTGTGGCTCACATGCCAAAGCCTATATATAAATTTCTTTTTAACAACCACAGATCCATATAGATGAATCGCATTACAGCCTGTGCTTTTGCAAGATCTGGCAACAATGATTTCCTTGGGATAATGATGCATTGTGCTAATAATAATAATAAAAAAAGTATTTCCTGTGAAGGCTCCGCTCCTTCTTTTCATTAGCGTTGCCTATATATTTTGCACAAGTATAAAGGGTAATGAAAAAAATTTGCCTTCTCTGCATAGAGATATTGTCCATCTCCCTTTCTGATTAGCCCATCTTTAAATAAAAAGATTAAAACCACTGAAACTCTTTTTTTTTTTCATCTCTCAGCTTGTGCAGTGGTTGCCTAGTCTTGATCCCTGTAGATTCGTACAGGATCTTTTTTTTGAGATGAATTGATCAAAGCAGACCATGATGTTTCAGACGAAAGCCACCCCAATTTCAGTGTCTGTTCTGCGTGGCTCCGCGGGGCCCTGGACCTCATGCCTCCCCGGGGGCTGGGATCAAGCTACGTGCAGCAGCCGCAGGACTTACATACAGGACCGCATAGTAGAAGAGCAGAGCCAGGGGTGTTACAAGATCATAGTCACACTTCTCCTGCACCTGTAGGAAACAGCCGGAGGGCAGAAGGATGAGCTGGGCTGTTCACCATAAAGCTTTACCCAAAAGCATCCTTGGCGGTGCTGGGAGACTCCCCGACAGTGCAGCCACATGCCCAACGCGCACCATCACATCACTGTCCCCAGCAGATTCCCTTGTCCCCACAGGAAAATAACCCCTAAAGCCCCAGTAACCCACACCAGTGGGACAGGCAGATCAGCACAGACTGCCGTTCTGCCTTTACCCTTGAGAAGCCGGATTTGGCCAAGCCCCCAGCCCTCCGATGCTCCTGATCCTTGCAGAGTTGCATGAAATTCTATGGAAGAGGCTCAAAGCAGGCAGTTTGGAGAGGCAAGCAGGCAGCCCAGCCCCTGCAAGCGGCTCGCAAAGCTCAGCAGCACCATAGATTTTTGTCCCAGCCTTTGCCAGTGAATAGCCAGCAGAATTATTTCACTGAGGGACTTAGTGATGGCTCAAGGATTCGCTTGCAGACACTGTCTCCCCTTGTTCATGAGCACAGCACAACACAAAGTGCAACAAACCCTTACGTAAACCCTAATGTAATAAAATGTTATCTGCAACTAGATCAATTCCAGCCATTTAAAAAAAAAAAAAAAAATAAACGGATTAAACCAAATCGTGCTAATCTTAACTGGTATCAGCTCTGCAGCCTGGCAGCTAGACAGCTTTTCTTTCCCCAAAAATGAAAGGCAGCATTTACTCCATCACATGAATCCCAGCGCTGAGGATTTAGGAAACACAACACTGTTTCCTGCCACATCAGGGGATTCCTCTGAGGTCTTCCTGGTCACAGCCCGAGCCAACCCCACTTGGCCGACGATGCCTCGAGCTTCTCCGGCACATGACGGGACCACGGCAGGCCGATACGATCAGCCCCACCGCCGTTTTGCCTCCCCGCTGTGCCTGACCTGACTGTCTCCTGCCAGGCTGCTACGTGGTGCAAACCCTGCCCACGGTCCCCAGCGTCCCAGCTCCACTCCTGGCCCTGCAGGAAGCCCGGCAGAGCCGTGGCAAAGTTTCCATCAAAAACAACAGGAAACCTTCAATTTGCTCTGATTTGGACTAGCAGCTCCCAGTTTACGGCGGGGGAAGGTCTGGCGAAGGCCAGCTCCATCTGTGCAGCCCTACGACCCGGGCTGCCCCTGCACGGCGCCGAGCGGCGCTTTGGGAAATCAAAACCCTTCCCCGTGAATCTGCAGTACTGCCCAAAGAGCAGATATGGGAGCTGGGTTTTTCCCTTGTAGTTCCCATGTGCTGAAAGCCGGTGGGACACACGGGGTTGTTCCCACCGGAGTTTCGGACCTGCCGACCCAGCATCACCCGACCCCAAGCTCCGATGCTCCAGCAACACCTTACCACAACACAAAATCACCCACCAAGCTTTGCAAAACTCCATTTTGGGCAATCCCCGGAGCTGACACCACCTTAAAGCCCGCAGCCCTCCCCGGCAGCCCCTTGACTCACCTCTTTGGCCTTGCCGAGGATCTTCTCCACAAGGATGAGGTAGTTGCCGGCGTCTCGGCTCACCAGCTCCTGCAGGCTCCAGCAGTTCAGGCACAGCCCGGCTGCGGGGGAGACAGAGCCACCATCACTCACAGCCCCGTTCAAGAAGGTTGCAGGAGGGAAGAACAACGGGAAGGGGTCAGGGCGAAGGTGTTTGCCGGCTATGTCAGATCACGGCAGAGGAAAAAAACCTCCCGCCCTCATTCTGGACAGATCTAATCTTGCCAAGTGGTGCTTATCTCAGCGGCATCTCTTTGTACCTGAGCACCTTTGTACTCTCGCTCTCGCAGCCCAGCGCACTCAGCTGGGTTGGACGCCTCTCCCCCAGGGAGGCCGGGTAGCTGACATGCCTGTGCGGCCACGCTCCCGCTGCAGAGGCCAGAGGGATGCGCGTGGCATAGGTGGATGCCCACCTTCAGTCTGCCTGAGCATAGAAAACCCACCGGTACGACCCCTTGCCCTGCTGCCCCCAGGCTCAAACACCCCAGATGCACTATCCCAACTATAAACTCACTCAAACCCTGCAAAATTCAGCTCCCCGTCAGGCACATATCCAACCCCCTGCAGCTGCATCGCACCTGAGGGAAGATGCTGCATCCCCCCGACCAGCTTCCCCACACCCTGGAGACGCACCATCACATCAGCATCGCGGCAGTCAGAGCTCATATCAGCATCATTGTTAAGCCTGCCCAGCATTTATTCCATTTCTTAGCACCTTCAAATTTTCATCGAATGTATTAAAACCCCACCAGGAGATTACCCAGATATTGAGAGAGGAGAATTGCCGTGCAAAGGGACGGAGGGTCCTTCACCCCGGTTGGTTGAGAGCACCCTGGCCTCCACCGCCAGCCATCTGCCTCTCGCTGCTGGGACCCGACCAGTGACAATGGCCCAAGGTGTTTCCCGAGGTCGTCACTTTTCTTGGCGGGAGGGCCACCTCCCAGATGGTCTCGGAGGAAATGATCTGCACGAAGGCTGCCGGGCGCCTCCATTCATCCCAGCCCTGCATCCTGGGGGAGGAGGCGGCGCTCACCGGGATCTGCAGACCAAGAAGGGAGTTGCACCTCCTCCTCCTCCTCTTCCCCCCGAGGGACCCAGGCACTGCACACAGCCCCATGGAGAAAAGTTACAGGGAAACTTCAAGCAAACAGCCTAACAAATATCTGAGAAGGGTCCATGTTTGCATCTCCCCATCGCCACGGATTTTATCACCAGGAGTGGAGGCAGTGCAGACATCACACAGCTCAGCCACAACCCATGGTTCTTCCAAGCTCAGTCCAAAAGAAAGACCAAGAGAAACAGAGCATCTCTCGCTGCAGGGAAGTGGGGCTAATGATCAGAAAGGAAAAATAAATATAAATCTAGCCGCTCTTCACTCACACGGTCTATTAAGTGGCACAGAAACTTAACAAACACCAACCCATGCGTGTCGGCTGTTGCGTTGGAGCTAACAAGGAAGAAACAATACCGTGAGCTGGCAAGGGGACAGCGGTATTCATCACAAATCTACAGGTCACGCTGTCTGTCCCTCAAACGTTACTCCCAGCTGCAGAGGCTACAAATTCATCAAACATACAGGCACGTACATGCCATAAAAATACCTTTACACACCTTCTAGGTGTTAAACAGGAGTAATTTAAACCAGGGGAGATGTATGCCGTGGCGCAGCTGGGAGAAGATCGATGCCAAGACAAGCAAAACTAGTGCTCAGGTTGCAAAAACAGTCTTCACTTGTCCCTGCCACGGACAAGCATTTGCTCACCAGGACATACACTATTTCTGTGGCTTTATGCCTAACTTTTAGCTGAACAAAACAGGGCAGGAGCCTTCCCCCATAGGAAAGCCTCCTCGCTGCCATGCAACTTTTCACTTTCAATGAATCAAGATTTTCCAGTGGAGAAAGATCCTGCTGGAAAGTTTCCAAGGAGCTCAGATGCACTCGCTGTTAATTACAGTTGCAATTTTTAATTTGCCTCCAGTACTCCCGGCATCATGCTGGGTTTGCTGACACCCAGAGCGCAATCTTAGATGGTGGTATCTTGTCAGCGAGGGCACAGCCGCAGCGACCCGGTAATTCAGCGATGCTCCAGTTCTCCTTTGAGCCACTTTCATCAGTCAGCGCAATGGCACAGAGCCACGGCTCTGCCCAGAAGCACTCCAGCAGATTGCTCAAATAAATCAATATTATCCCAGAGCGCGGCATCCTCCAGGGAAAGCCCCAGCACCTGTGGGATAGTCAAGAAAGCAACCGGCCCAGCAGAAGTGGTCAGAGCTGCCGGGAGCTTTGCTGACCTCTGCAAGAAGCGGCTGCGCTCACGTGGTGCCTTGAAACAACCCTGCTTTGGCCGGGAGGATTATTTCACCCAAGAGAGCCCGGCCCCGCTGCGGCTGCCCAGGGCAGGATCCGTGAGAGCAGCGGAGCTGAGCTCCGTCGGGGTGCATCGCCAGACGAGGAGAACGCTGCTTCCTGCGCGAGCGTAACCACAAATACAAATAGCCCAGCAAGACGCAGGCTCTTTCCTTCCTCTCACTTCTAGCAAGGGAGGAGGAAATCGCTGCAGCAGCAGCTCGCCGCGTTATTCTGTGCTGAATGGGGCAGAGGGAGAGGCGCTGGGGCAAACCCACCGTGAACAGGTTGGGAGGACGGGCAGGTAGCAGGGACAAGGGCAGGGCTGGAGGGAAGTGTCGTACAAATATAATTTAGACCTGAGGTCTTCTGATCCATTTTTGAGTCTTCTACAATAACTGTGAGCTGAAGCACAAGGATGCAGCCAGGTATATTTGAATAACATCGCCATAAGCAGAATTTCTGTTTAACTCATGGTCATGGCAAGGCACTGGGATTACCCTGGGATTAAGCCAAACGGTGCTGGGAGGCAGCAGGCTGCTAGGGTCTGAGCTCCTAACTTTGGCAAAGCAGCACTAATCAAAGACACTCCAAAACAGCTGCGTCCTTGCTAAAAATAGTCTCAAGCACAAAATGCAGCTCGGAAATCCTGGACACAATAAACAAAGACCACGCGGCAAAGCAAAGTGTCCGGCACCGCCAGGCATCAGTCAGGACAGGGGATCCAGACCTGGGTGGGAATTCCCTTCCCTCCACACACAGTCCAGATCATGAGCATCCACTTTCCAACCACTGGGAGCAGAGTTAGTCCCTGCAGCCATATCCCCTGTATCCAGACTAAAAACATTATTTGGGCATGGAGGGTGATGCTACTGATGTGCACAGGTCAGAAACAAAAGCCCCAGGTGACACTAAAAGAAGAAAGGAGCCACACACCTGCGAGCGCCCTTTCCGTCCCTCTGCAGATGTCCTGCCTCTGCCTGGGACACAGCTGGGTGCTGCGGTAGCACCCGGGGACTTTTATGAACTGCAGAGCAGCACTTGGTTTATTCCCAGGCCAGGGAGAGGCTGCAGCCAGGTGAGAAACCAACTCCAGAAAGTTTTATTTGCAGCCACTCCTCCGTCTCCGAGCAGATGCTCCGCTGCTGGTTTGCTGTGATGGTGAATCATGCCACCACTCTGGGTCAGGCCACAAATCACAGCAGTGTTTTACAATGGGTCAGAGCAGCACAGAGCACAAAGTCCAAACTGGGTTCGTTCCACTGTGCCAGGTTCCACTCAAAACCAGCAGCGCCAGACCACGCCGGGCACCCGCCCTGTCCCGGGGTGGACGAGGGTAGGATGTGCACCGCGAGCATGCAGAAAGCTTGAACCAGGCTTTCTCCTGGACTTTGCACTTGCTCTTTAATTCCCCCAAAAAAACCATTTCTCACTATGAGATGCAAGGGAGGCCCCGAATCTGCATGGAGCGTGCAGCTCGAAGATGCCGTGGGATGTCCCCCAAGGTGAGGAGGGATGCTCCCTGCCATCACTGCAAGCACTGGAAAGTCCTGTGTTGGTGGGGAAACGCTTCACCTCACTCACCTAAACTCATATCAAGGCAGGGATTGCAGAGGTCAGGCTGAGGGAAGTGGGAAGTAAAATCACGCACACAAACCACTCAACGCCTTAAAGGAGAGTGGTCCATGCAGGAGCTGCGGGGTGATCGCCAGCTCTGGAGGTGTCAAGATCAGCTTTTAAAGATGCATCTTGTGCAGGCAGCACAAACAAGAACTTCACCTTCCAGCCCCTAAATCCTATGAATTTGTCACAAGAGGCACCGGAGCCCTCCCAGCAGGGCAGTGGGAAGCCCCACAGCTAAAAAAACCTGCTTTACATCCACCCTGCCCTCACGCTCATCCATCCGATCGTGCTCCACTAAAACAGTGACCCAGTGCTATTTATTTTTTCTTTATACATGGAGAATGAGTCAGATTTATCTGCCAGCAACACAGACAGCCCAGAGCACACTGCAGCCCCAGCTGCGGGATGCTGGGGCTACGACACATGGAGCCGCAGCAGAAGCAGGACTAAGCTATGCTTATCCCAGCATCCTACACGGCACGCTTAGACTGAGCCCAACATGGCACAGACCCAAAGAAAAATCTCCCTTTGGGAGAGCAAAACCCACAGCAAAGCCTCCGAGCAGGGACCCAGCAGCGGGCAGAGGCTGCACCAAGACCCCCGCTCCGGGAGGGAGCTTGGGCGCAACGCACGCTCTCGCTTTGATCGCTATCGGCATCGACGAAGGTGCCGGCAGCGTGCCGGGAGCCGGGCGGCAGCGGCTCCGTGGGTGGCCTCGGAAGGATGAGGCTTCGCAATTTCTTTTCTGAGAAGTGCACCGAGACGCCCTCCTCCCAGAGCGGCTCCTTCCTGACCTCGGTGGTTGACATTTCCCCTCCGCCGCTCTTCATAGGGGGCAACTGTCAAGTCGGAAAAAAAAGAAATAAAGCAGAAATACCGCATGCCCAAGCTGCCTTCGCCCACGGTGCTCGGGCTGGGCATCAGCTCCCGGTGCCGTCAGAAGTGACACAGTTGGAGGGGAGAAAAGCAGACGCCTCCACTTCCTCCCTCCCCCAGACCCACTCCCACCATTTCCACTACGCCCTCACTAGAATAATGTGGTTTTCTCCGAGGGACTGCCCAGAGGAAGGGCCGACTCGGAGCAGTTGGTAAGCAGGGGGGTTGGAGGTGCCTGAAGCACAGGAGACAGCAGAGCCCCGCAGTCACAGCATCCTCTTGGGATGCATCCTGCACCGCACAGGAGTCCAACCTGCAGCCCCCATTTCCAAGCAGCTGCTTAGAGCCCCCTGAGCAGGGCACAGCGGCACCTCCCAGGGCTGGAGCCACCCCGGAGCTTCCACCCAGCCTGGGCAGTGATTTCAGCAAGAAAACCCACCACAAGCCTGGAGAAATCCATTCAAAGATTAAAATTTGCAAGGTGTAGTAACCAGCGCACCTTAATTCTGCACTTAGAGCTAGAAGTAATTCAGACATTGCATTTCGCATTACTTGGTGACTAAGCTGGAAGATCCCCACACCAGACTTCTGTTCATTTCCCACGAGGGTATTTAGATGACTGCAATCGAGCAGGATCTTAAGCTTCCCTTTGTTAGAGCTGAGCAAACTGAACTCCCTGGGCATCACGTAAGACATATCACTGAAGACTCCTCTCCTTCTCTGGCTCACCAGTGGCCTTCATCCGTCCTTCCTCACCAGCATCGTTCATCATCTCTGCCTCACATGCAGCCCCGTGGCAGAGACACAACAGCTCCTTCCCACCCCTGGGACCTTGCAGGCAGCGGGCTGCCCTACAGCCTCCCAGCAGCTCCCCACGCCGGCGATCCTCCAGCCCTTCTCACACCTCTGCCTCCCCAGCACAGCATCCCCGGCACCGCCAGCAGCCAGACCCAAGCCCAGCACTCTCCTTCACCGAAGGCTCCCCGTTTCACTGCTCACCAGCAAGAAATAAAATATTTTTCTTCCTTTAGCACGCTCTGATTTGACTATCATCTCTCTCCAGCAACATGGAGGAAGGCAAACTCTCTGAAGAGGGTCTCCACGAGGAAAAGGAGGTTGTCTTTCCTAGCACTTTTCTAACAGGGTTTTTTGTGAGTCAGAGACAATTAATTTTAATATGGTTCCTCCAATAAACGCTGCAGTTCAGGAAAGATTTTCTATTTCGACCCCAGAGCTGACCACGGGCTCATCCACGGAATAAATTTGTGACGGCCAAAGCACTCGCACTTATCCTTTTTGCTGACTTCACAGTCCTCAGCTATTCAGTCACTTACGCAGGGGGAAAACGACGCATCGGAAGTGATTACTCACCCACTCTGGAGCAACCTCCTGTAAAATTACCATGTAAAAATAAAGCATTAAATAATTTAAAAATGAACAAAATTCTAGCAAGGTCTCAGCCCAAAAAGCTGTGACGTGGTGCGTGTTATTTTGGTGTACGGAAACGGTAAAAAGGAGGGGAAAGCAAATAAATTGGGAAATAGAAGTGATATAAGAAGTTAAAAACAAGAAAGGAGAAGGCTACTGCACAGCTAAGAACAAGATGAAGGGATTCATTGACTATATGAGGAACAGAGCCCTGCCATAAATAACAGCCTGGATCTGACACAGAACAGCAATAATTAAACTGTTGCTGTAACACGGGGAAGGCAGAAGAACACGCAAATATTTTTGCTCTGTTTTTGAAAAGAAACAGGATACCTGTTAAGGGGTGTAGGTATACCTGTGCATTATGCTCTGTTTTCCCTAAATCGTGTATGTTACTGCAATAACGAAATACTTCCTACTCCGACTGCAAGGGGGTAGGATGTGAAACAGCAGCTCTTCAAAGCAAACACGTTAAAAGTCAGCAGGGGTGGAAAGCCCACATGGAAGAGCACTAAAGGCACTGGCCAAGCAGCGCTGCCCCGGGGGCTGTCCAGAAGCGGTACCCCCGGGCCGGAGCACAGCAGAGCTATTAACATCACATCCACCGACGACTGCGGAAACGGGGTTCGCCGGTCACGCTGAAGATTTTTGGCAACAGCACAAATGCCGTTGATGAAAGGGAACTTTCTGATGTGTAAAACGTCTGAGATTCTCCCAGGAATGGCAGGTCATTCTGCCAAACCCCACAAAACCCACATGAAGAGGACTGAAAGCCAGCAGGCGGAGAGATGGGGGAAAATCATTAGAAATGAGGAATCCCTGGGCAGCACAGCTGCTTCCAACAGAGCCTACCACCACCCGACCCCTGCCCCGAACAGTCTTGTCTTTGCTAATGAGCCGGAAGAATTATGAAATCGTTTTTTAAAGGCTGCCCTAACACAAACACCAGTGCTGAGGGGCTGGGATTAGAGAAGGGCAGAGTTTGTGAGTGACACAGGAATTGATTAATTATAATTACAGGAAGAGGTGAGTTATGCGGCGCACAATGAATTCCTTGGCGAGATGGACTCCTTTGGACACGCACTGTAACATGCCAAACTTTAGGTCGCGCTTCCAGGAACCAGGAATGTAGGTCACACTTCAGGGCCTGTTTCCCAGAACGTGGGGAGACCAAAAGCATCCAGGAGTCCTGGTCATAGCTGCGTGAACCAAGACCCAGGGTGACACTACAGCACAGGGAGCTGGTGTCACTCCGGTGGGCGTGAGGAAATGGGGACGGCGAGAGGGATTACTCCAGTACTTGGCAGCAGGTAGGATACCACTTGCATCTCTTTCTTGACTTGTAGGTAAACGGAAAAGCAGAGGGGGTTGAAAGAAGAACTGCACAGACAAAAGGAAATCTGGATTTGACAGCCCCTCTCCCCCAAATTAATTTCATTTCTTTCATCTGCAAGAGGATTTAATTGCGGCCTACAAGTGTGAGTATGAGGAAGTTAGGTCAAAATGACATTCAAAAATTACTGATTCTCATTGCTGTTTTGCCCTCACCACCGCCATCCCAAATCCCTTTGCAGCCCTCTGAACACGGCTCACGTCTTTATGGCCACCATGGTATCTGATCTAGATTTAAATAAAGTCGATAACAATATCTCCCCACTTGCTTATGACAATGCGGCAGAGATTACGCCCATAGGTTTTGAGGACTATATGCATCAAAGCAAGGCAAGGGTGGCTGATTACACAAAGGAGTCTTTCCTTGTGGTGAATGAAGACGACTCCTCTTTCCAGCTCATGCATGGACAACTGGCAAGACGCACGGCTTCTCTGCTGAGCTTTAGTCATATAAGACCTAACATGACTTGTTCAGCATCTTGGTACATCTTCCTACTGCAACGAGCTGCTTGGGAAAACTGACTAGATTGGATGCCACCTCTAACTTTGAACATTGGAAGGGAAAAAAGGCCTCCAAGCCTCCAGTAGCACCAGCAGTTCTCTCTTACGGAGGTGCCCAGGTAGGTCAGCAGATCATGCAGAGACAGAAGAACAGAAGAGTCTGACCCCATCAAGGCTGTCAGGTGTCAGGCTCGTGGCCAACAAGCTCGTGGTTAACAGGTCACCTACCAGCCCATCTGCTGGAGACAGCATCTCTGCTAAGCCCATGTAGACATCTTTCCAGTGCGTGGTAGATCCTGTCCTCTGTGCACGTGGTGTGCTGCATTTTAATTCATCTCCTAAAGAGAGCAAAGGAAGAAAGTTAGTATACTGGGCCCTTAGTTAAGTGCAAGGAAGAGAGCACTGCAACACTGCTACTGCGGCACAGACGAGATGCTCCTGGGTGAAACACCACCCCATTCCTGCCTCCTGTCACCCTTTCCAACCCCAAAGCCAATGATGCACCCCACTCTGCTAGCTCTGCTTGGCAAGGAAAAGGAGGCGCACACATCCACGACCCGATCACGAGAGGCTGTGGGGCCAAGGCACCCTCACCCTGACCTGCTGCAGGCATATCTGCCTTCTCACAACTTCCGTCTGTGGGACAGATCAAGTCTCGCTCACGTGTTTGTGGCAAGGAGGTAATCTTGGGTTAGCCTCCATCGAAGATAACACTACAAGAGATTACAGCTGCAACACCTTGCAACAGGGTCAATGGGAATCATAGAACAGCCCTGGAAGGAATCTCAGAAGATCACCTGGTCCCCAACCTGGGAAAAGTGAGGGCAGAGCCCAAGCTCCTACTCCTTGCGTTAGGCATGGATCGTCAGCTCTAGTGTCCACTGGCTATGGTCACAAACCCACTCCCAAGTGCTAACCTTGTACCAGCCAGGAAAGCCTCCAGTACTGTCACCTTGCTGCCACACAGCCAACAGGAAGATCAGGTCCACGTGCCCTTGTGGGAAAATACAGAGGGGACCTCAGCCCCAACGTCCGAGGACATTGCAAAACTGCGGATTGCGTGCCTGGCTGCAACCTTTTCACAACGTGGCTCTGTGCACCTCACCTCTCCTCCGTGGCTCAGGGTGCAAACTTAAACCTTGGGCTGGCAGAGACTGTGCTGGGGGAGGAAGATTTTATCCCACTCAATTCATATGCATCTGTCTGGGACACCATGAAAATAAAAGCAGCTTGCCCAGAAGGTTTACTTCTCAGATCTGCCCTGACCATGAGCAATCAAAGAGGTGCCCGGGCAGAGATTCCCTCCTCCCCTGCAGTGCCAGTCCTGGCGTCCAGAGGGACCCTGGGGCAGGCACCTCCCCTCTCCCAACACACAGAGAAGGGCTCATCCCACAGACTCTTTGCTTCTTGGTTAGAGGCAAACCAAATGCACAAAAATAATCCAGGAAGAAGAAATAAAACCTGCCAATACTACAAAAAACACCTGCCTTTGCTTTCATCCTGGACAGCTCGTTCCTGTACCTATGCCACACGCTTGTGCAGTTCCCAACGCTACCCCAAAAAGCTCGACTCTCTGCTTATTTGGTCAACGTTTGACACTCAGTATTCAGTGGTGGCTGCGCCCATCACAGCCCCCCACCTCCTCCCTGGCAGGAGCAAAAGCTGCTGTGGTCACGACAGAGGTTCCACCTGGTCCCCCCTGCTTGGTGTACTCAGCACGGCCACCTCCACCGACACTTAATTCCCAGCAATTCCCCCAAAAGGGCTCAGTAAAGCCATGCCCGGCTGCTGGGGCTCCCTGAGAGCTAAGGGGGTGGCGAGGCTGGCTCCAGCCCTGCCACTCGGTCCTTCCTATGCTGGAAAGAAGCCACCAATGGCTCCACACAGGTGAAAGCAAACACACAACGAGGAATGACTGACCTGCCAAACGCAAGTTCTCTCCTTTACCCCGAAGAGGCTCATGGGCTCCTGCCTCTTGTGTCCCGCTGCCGCAGCCTGTTATTATGGTCTTCACCAAAAGTTTTATCCATCCACAGTGCGAGTGCAAGGAACGCCCAAGAAATGCTCTGCCATGGTGCCGAGGACTGAATGAGCGGAGAATCTGTACATCAGCACCTTAGTCATGACTTGTGGCAAGAGGAAAGCAGTGACTAAGAGCACAGCATGACTCATAAGCACCCTTTACAACACCCAGCTCACAAAAATACACCTCCCTGCACATCAGCTTGTTTTAGAGCACAGCTCGGTCCTCGGAGGGGAACGCGCTCCTCACCACACGCTCGGGGTGAGCCGCGCGCCGGCCCAGCCATCCCTTTCCGATGCCTCTCATATCCCAGCACAGAACAGGCAGGGAATTTAAGGACAAAATAGGACAAAGATATTACCATAACTTTCAAACCACAAAATACTAAGTCTTCGTGGTTTTTTTTCCTGGTGTGCTACGGACCACACATGAATCTAAACCTCCTCTCCCAAGACAGTGCTTATGGAAGCATCTTTCATGGGAGAGGACTCAGTTTATCCACCACAACCAAGCAGAAACTTTTCAACCTCTTCTACTGTTTATTCCCCAAACTCTCCCTTCCTTCCCACCCACACTGAGCAGGGACAGTTCTGGAGGACGTAATCAGAGTTTCCAAGGAGCTCTGTTAAGCATCTCAAGAGCACTAGAGAAAACAAGTGTTGAGGTCAAGGTTTTTAATCAATGCTTTGCAATGGTTTGTGAGGGTGTTGAGCAACTCTGCAAAAAAAAAAGATCTGTCCCTTCATCATCTCCCTCCAGCTGGACTCCCAGTAACAGAACTGCGAAACCAAGAGCTGCTTTGGCAAAACCGTAAGGTGCAAGGTATTTGGAGCAGGTGGAAGGGACGGCGCGGTCGCTGTGCGGTGAACTGCCTGCGGTCACGTTTCACAACACACCCGGAGCAAACGCTGCGAGCGGTCATGCCCCGGCACCCTTCAGGGGCACCCTCGTCACTGAGGCGGGCTGCTGCTCTGCGCATTTCCAAGCAGAGCAACATGTTGCAAAAGGTGTGGGTTTCCCTGCCTTCTCCCCAGTTGCCAATAACACTTTCAAGAGAGCACAACCACCACCCAGGGAAGAGAGAAGGGTTTTGAGGGACCAATTGAGACAAAACAGCAGGGAGGATAACAAAGAGACCTTCCGACATCGGATTGTCACAAATCTCCTGACAGCAGCTCTGCAGGCGATGCAACACAGTGCCCAGCCCTTATGTGAACCATCTAGAGCTATTGCTCCTAGGAGGCAGGAACAGAGGGGACACCACAGCAGTTGTGAGGAACATCCTCAGGCAACGACTGAGTATCACCCTTGGACAAGGCATGAACTACCTCTCTTCAGAGAGCATATTGCGTACAGAAAAGTGTGGCCAGATCGACTGCCACTCCTGCTCTGCGCAGCGTTAGCAAGAGCTGAGCAAAGCAAGCAGAAGGGCTTTATGCCACCACACCTCGCCCATGCATCGGACCCCAACCCTACAAAATTAAGCGATGGGACTTCAAGCCCTGGCTGTTCTCTAAGATGAGATTGGTTTCCCTTCTCCAGTAACTTTGCACCTTAAAAGCAGCCTCCAAACACTGTGCAAACCATACAGTCACCATTTAAGAGCGGGCGAAGCCAATGTTTGGAAAAGTTAAGCAATTTTTCAGCTGTCCCACAGTGACTTGTGGCACAGCTGGGAGCATAAGGCAAGTCTCCAGCTCTCCAGGCACGTTCCTTACCCTCCATACCACCCTCCTGCCACCTGCAGTATCAGCACAGTCAGAAAGAACTGGACTTCTTGCAAGAAGATAGCTAGATCTCACTTAGATAGAGTCCCCATCACCTCACACCGCTCTGGTCCATACACGTAGCTGACCAACCAAGATAAACATCTACCACCACACGTCCCAAGAAACACCTTCCTCTCCAACTCTCCCATGCAGGACAGACGCCTGCCGTCAGCAGGGTGCATCGGCAGAACGCCCCGACGGACGTGGCAAGTGGGACTGACAGAGACCAAGAGGGGAACCAGGAACCCCAGAACCACAACTGGGCGCAGGGAGGTGACCGGCTCGCAAACAGCTCCAGGACCATGCAGGCAGAAAGCAAGGCTTACTCTCGTTAACGTTACATCACGCTGGTCATGTTACGCCACTCTCGGCCACAGCAGTGACAACATTTAAGCCCTCTGGTTTTAAGAACCCCATGTCCTGAGGGAAACCAATTTGCCTCGAGGTTTTGCCCTGTTTTCGACAAATGACCACAGTTAGCAACGTCATGGGCGTGGGGCAAAGTTGAACCTACCCCCCAGAAGGTCTGATTGCCCAAAAGGCACCTGCTAATTTTCTAACAAGACAAACAAATAATTATTAAAGTGAGTGAGAAAAGGCATAGCAAACCAAAGTTCAGTCTGAAAAGTATCTTCAGAGTATTTGTGAAATTGTCTCAGCACCTTGCATGGATGCAGGTCTTTGGAGAATTTCCATCTGAGATTGCTTAGTTAGAAGTCTTCATTCATCTCTGTCGCAGTTAAAAAGGTGGACAGATAAATTACAATGTTCCTGTTAACTACATTAAACAGGTAAAAAATTATCCCTTGGTGGAAAGCGGGAATTTGATGATCATTGTTTTTAGATTTTCATTTGTTGTCCTGCTTTGAGGCACAAGGTTTGCAAAAATCCCAAAGTTTTCAAAAAATATGAAAAAAACCCACCACCAACAAAAAAGAATATATTTTCCTGCTGGGCTGTGAAGCCTGAGGCCACGGGAAGCCCTCAGGGTGTCACAGCTCCATGGCAGGGGCTTTCCACTCAGCTGGGACAGACTGTGGTTCCCCCACTTGCCTTCACTGCCCTGGGACCTTTTCCTTTCACGGCTTTTCTCCTGCTCAGTATCAGAGCAAAGGAGAACACCTCAACTCCTTCATGCCCAGAATGACCCTGCCCCAGGAACAGAAGGTCCCTCTGCACAGAGCAGCCAAGTTGAGGAGATGACTGAGGCCATTAGCAGTTCCCACATGGTTGGGACAAGGCACATGAGAAGCTGAATCGGGGGTCACACCGGCTTTTCTGCAAGGAACAGCACTTTTCTTGTATTAAGGTTCACGTGAGTCCTATCTTCAACATCCAAAGGACTTCTCTGATCTCCTCCTGTAGTGGTGGAGCCCAGGACAACCACCATTAGATGGGAACAGGGGGAAAGAGCTCAAAGATCAAGTCCAAAGTTGGTGTTCCCAAATAAAGTAGTGAAGGGAATTAGACCACCCCCTCCCGGGACACCGGCCACCTCCAATCCAACCAGCAGGGCAAATCCCTGCTCACCCA